TTTAGGTGGTGCGTGCCCCCCCAGCCACATCTTTGCCGCCTCTTTACAAGAGCATACAAAAAATAGTTTGACAACATTTTTTTAAAAATTAACAATTTCTGTTCTAATATTTAAAGTATGCTATTTAACAAATTCAGTCAGAAATCCTGATGTTTTCATTTAAAGAAATTTGTTCTATGAAAAGGCTAAAAAAGTTTGTAATATATTTTCTTTCAAGTAGATAAAAGCATATTCTCCACAGCATTTTGATGAAGATATCATTAAGTGAAATAATTTATTACAGATATATTAATTTAAAAAAAAAATAAAGAATTACTAAATTAATTGTACTTGAGAACATACCCAACTCACAGCCACAATAGTTTTCTTCCAATGTAGTATTTTACAGAGGTAACAACCACAGGGGCTGGTCAGACTAAGACACTAGTGTGTTCACACATAAAAGGAAGTTTTGCCATAGTTTAATAGGAATAGGATCACTTTGTGCCATCTCACTACCATTCAATCAGAAATACAAGTACCTGTCATCAGCAAATTGTAAGCCTCTTGTTTGGAGATCTTCCCGTGGAACCATCTTAACAAAGATGAAGAGAAAAATTAGAAAGCAAGACTACCAGCTCTCTTTTTTGGCTGTGGTGACATCCAAGGCTCTGGCACCTATGAATTGATCTTTATTTAAAAAGACCTAATACATATAGATGAGATAATCAATGATTATGCTACTTAATGATTCTGTTCTACCAATAGCACGAAAAAAAATAACATCAACAGGTATGTAAATAAATTGATTTCTATAAAAATGTCGGATCTAACTGTGTTTAGAGATGAAAATGAATTGTCTAAATGGTAGATAATTTGATAGGCATTATTTGTAGTCAGTCTCATACAGCAATTTAGTTCAATCATGAAATCCAAAGCTCAAACAAGGAGGTTAAATACTGTTCAGAAAAATTCAAACAATTTTGCCATCAGCTGTGGAAATAAAACCTGGCTTTGTTAGAATATTGAATACAAACTCCTTTGATCTCACACTTCATACCTTTTTAGAGTCCTGTGTCAGAGCAGTATCCTAAAAATGTTCAGCAGCCTCTGTCCAGTCTTGGCCTGATAATTATGACTATACAGAACAGCTTGACATGCTACAACTTAATAGCTTATTCTGTCCTTTAAAGCACAGCTAAATTATGGACTTTTTATGTATCAGAAAAGAGCTCTAGTTTTAATTTTTTTTCTATACTACCTTTAAAGGACAATTTCTGGCTACTGGAACATTCAAAGGAATCGCTGTCTCCCCAGGATTCCTTTGAGTGGCACAAATAACTGCAGGCAGAGAGTATCAAAGCTCCAGGCATCTGCTACAAACTACTTTGCAAACAAGTAAATAAAAAATCCTACAGTTGAAGGCATCCCTACTGCCAAATTGACTAGCAGAACACTAGCAAACAGTACACAAACAACAAACACACCAGTGATTTTCTTTCTGCTATTATGATAACAAAAAATGCCTCCTTCAGCCATCAGCCTCTTGGAGACCACAAACTGGGCAACAGAGAAAAAAGCAGCAGGGGCATATACAGCAAGCAAATGGAGGACAAATGACATAATCAAGCCACTAGAAGTTTTTCTGAACTTTCTTTTGCCACTCACCTTTACTACTGAACATAATCTGTCAACAGCTTGACATATCAATACATTGTTGATTCTAAATTGTATTCAATCTTTAAAACAAATTAAGTATTTAAGCAAATGGAACAAATCTTATAGTGCTTTGTCTTTTTCTTTAAAGCTTAAGTGTTATTACATGAAGGTAGCAGAGACAAGCTGTAACTATCACACTACCATTTTCCTAATGGTACTTTGCTCTCTCTCCAGCATTTAGAGTTGTGCAGATCTGAAAAAAGTTTACCTCTAAGGCAAACACTATGTTCAAGAAATACACCATTGTGCGTATTTTGGCTGCAAGTGATCACACAGGGACTCATCTAAGATGTTAAAACTGCAAAACCCATTAGCAATAGGCATACCTATTACATCACTTTTTCATGTTAATTATTCATGCATCTTTAGCAACTAGTATTGAAAAAAGCCTTGAGATGAATACATACATCTCTTTGGTTCACCTTCCCAAAGCTGGGAAATCTCATAGTTGAAGTTTACAAACAGTTATGACTGCTTTCAATAACAAAACAAAAATCCTTACATTTTGCCTTCATGTGGATCTTCTTCTCTTCCCTAATGAGAAAATTAACATATTAAGTGCATGACAACAGTACAGCTCAGTTTAAAAAAAATAAACCTTCATAGGTTAAGACCTTTTGTACAAAAAAGCCCCATTAAGAAGTCTGAGACATTTTTGAACTAAAGGGCTTGTTGCAGTTCTATGTAAAGAAGTTTTCTTCTTCATTCACTAAGTGGAAATTCAGCCAAAATATGTTATTTCAGAGGACTGCTTCTGTCATGTTTCAAGTCCTTCTGTAGAGGTGGAAGTTTTTTAAAAATCTCAGCTTTCCTAAGGTTAACCTAATCACTGATATATCATCCTATAGTTCAATAGTCTGGTACTGTAACTTCAATTTAGCTATTCACATCCTGACAGATCCGTGAGAAGCACCTGCAGGTAACACTGCTATTAGCAAAACACATGTACTGTGCAGAAAAATATTATAAAAAATATTTGATAATATTTGACTTCAAGATAATGTTGAGCTTGTTAAAAAAAAAATTCCCCCCCCACCCCACCCCCCTTCTGAAGTATATTAAACCATCTGTTTACCTACAGTAACTGAATTATCTGCAGGTCACCTGGTTAGCTTCCTGCACCCACACAAGCCCTTCTAGGTATAATTAACTCATCAATACATTTTTAACCCACACTTCATCCTTAAAAAAAAAGAAAGACCTACCACGATGCAAAATTACATTCTGTACAGTTGTGAACATTTCATGGCAAATATAAAATGGTAGCAGATTCTTCACCAGGACAGTCAAGTCTAGGAAACTGCCTAGTAAATTTACAGCACCATTCATTTGTACTTCTCTTTGGATAACACATAAATAAGCACTTTATTGATACTGAATTAGGCTTAAGGTTTGATATACTATTTTAAAACACGTAGATCCAATAACTATGTTTGGAAAAGTACAGAACTAGAAAACAGGCTAGCTTTGGTTTATTTCAATATTATTTTACCAAAAAAAAATCACTAATTTAAGAAATTTTAATATAAAAATTACTTACCACTTCTTCTACCAGGTCTTCTACAATAAGACCTTGCTCATCTGTCCGTAGGTTTGTAACCCACATCCAGCCATCTTCCAATTCGTTATGGACAATAAACATGTCTCCTTTAAGGAAACTAAAGAGGGTTACAGCAAGATTTAAATCAGAGATACAATCATAATGTTAAGTTTAATGAACACAATGAATTTGAGTATAATTTCTGCAAAGTATTTGAGGAAACCTGAAAAATGCATGAATTGATACTCCAAGCACCTTACATGTCTTTTCCCTCACAGTTAAGTGGCTACTGCATATGAATACTTTGTTTCACATTTAGTATCTAATACATAGTTCACTTCTGTCAACTTCAAAGTGTGCTAAGGATGTATAAAACAAAAATAACATCACCACTATATTAAAAGTAGTAATATTGTTCTTTTATGAAGAGGGATCAAATACTAAACACAAGTATAAAATAACCAGAGATACCCTTAATTGTTTTTCAGAAAATAATACTCCTTTCATCAAAAACTAATCTTGTATAATAAAAGCCCGTGGAATATCTACTCTTTATGTTATCACATATGAAGACAAGTTCTACAAAGAGAATACAGAACAGTTAGCAGAGAAGCCATGCAATTAGCTACAAGACTAGCATAAATAGGAAGCATTAACTTGTCTAAGGCAGTTTCATTTCTGGAAAGTTAGTCTAAGTTACTCCTTAAGTGTTATCCCAAACTCAGGTCATATGAAAACCTTTCACTGTAGCACAGCAAGACTTCTCAATCAGGTTTCATCAGGGTACAGGAAATAACAATAAAGTATTGAAGCTCATTAACTACTATTTCAGTCCACAATTACATAGCAAATTTCCATAGCATTTCTTTAATTTGAAGTAGGCTAACAGAAAAGGTATTAACTTGAGCACTAAGCAAACAGCAAGAACAAACCCCAACGAAACACTATTGAAAACACAGAATAATGAATCTAAATACTAAATTAATCTAAATCCTAAGAATGGGTGACAGACAGCAAGAGCACCCTCCATCAGCTCTATTACAAAGAACTATACATTAAGTTTCTGCATGGAACACAGGCTGAAATTAACCCTGTAATACTTCAAACTTTTTAAATATTAACTATGATATTAAAATTTGAAATCAAGATTCTCTGAAATGCAGAAGTCTTCAAGAGCATATTAATTCAACCTAGAACAAACTGAGAACTTCGGTCCCAGCTATGCTGTGAACAAAACTGCTTTAGCCATGTGGATCTCAAAATCCAAGATCTTTGCATTTTAGCTGCATACTAAAAAGAGAGAGAAAAAGGTATAATTTTCTACATTTTTTGTTATAATAGCAAAGTAATAAAATCCTTTTTCCTCTTAAGTTGGTAGGTGTGATAAGACACTTAATGGACTCAATCTGTATTTTTATTCTTGCACATAGTAGGAAGCCTTACTTGCAGTATGCAATTAGAGTCCCATCCCTGTCCTACCATCTTCTTCCCATCTGCTTAGAATAACATCATGTCAAAGACAAATATCCTCACAGCATTCTTTAAAGAGGTCAGATAGGACTGGATTGTGAGCCTTGGGATAAATTTCCATCTCAATGAGGATATAAAGCTCCATATGCCTTTCTCTGTATCTTAGGCTAATGCTCCCAAACCCAAGCCAATTCCCAATTCAATTGGTGTGTTAAAACAACTTAGGAAACCAAGAATCATTCTCTCTCCATTTTATGGATAGAGAAGTAAAGAGAACTTAGAAAAAATAGTCAACAAGTGTCTAAGCACAGATAATAAAATGAATACTGGAACATTAAAGGTAGAGGTTTTTTAACATTGCTCCTTTTTTCTTATTTCACAGAAGGCATTAAATACTCTATTCTTCCATTTATGTGTAGTCAATGCTCACATTCTCTTTCTAGTGGTCAGAACTGGTTTGGCTTGAACTATTTATCTGCTATTAGTTCTGTGGTAGTTCAGGAAAAAAGCCTATCTCATTTATTTCACACACTGCATAGAATTCTTGCATACACAAATTTACCCTCTTGGAGACAAAATGTAGGGCTCTATAAAATGTACTTCAAAACTGTAACATTACTAATTTTACTTCTATAAACCTAATGTAACTTTCATTACAATTAATACAAAAAATATACTGAGAATAAAAATTCTTATTGCTATTTTCAAAAAAAGAACCAAAAAAACCCAACAGAGAGGCACCATCCTTTAACCTAACCACATTAAGTTTAAGATGCAACTGGATGGTATTTGCATACGAGCACATATTTAAATCCTTAGTATTTATAAATACTCTTGAGAATTTCACAACTGCTACTATTATTAAAACATACCTTATTTCATCAGTATCTGGCACTTTGGTGTAAGGTAGAATTGCTCGAACTCTCCTCCTGTCCTCCACAGGCTACAATTTAAAAGAGAGCAAAGATAATGCTTTTTCCTGTCTGCAGTGTAGAATCCTTCTCCCCACCCTTACGCTATTCTGAAGCAAAGGACTGGTAACAGTCACTTACATCCCCCTTGCAAGTTTTAAATTGTCAAAGCTCAAAGCCACTGAGAGCTAGAAAAGCATAATTCACAGAGTTAGCTACACGAGCTCTCATTTTGTTTCATCTTCTAGCATGACAGATGTGTATCATCTTCAAAACAAATTACCAGCAAGATAATTCCCATAAAATTTTATTTTTAAACTTTCTTCTACTTAGAGTGAATATTGCCATAAGTTCAAAATTCAGAAACATCTTTATTTACATTTTGGGTTTTGTTTATGGGGTGGCATTATGCAGTGTTTTGTTTCATTTTAATTACTTATGTTATTTTAAGGATGGGCATGTGAAAGAAGCCCCATTTGCAGAAACCTTGGTTATTTCCAGGATGCATATTTTGAAATCATTGTTAGATACACAAAATGGCATAAAAGAATAGAGGTTACATTACAATGGTGCTCTTTACTAGCCAAGAACTGCACATTTTCTTTTTTATTTCTGTTTACTTACTATGTTATTACTACATCTGGAAATAACTGCAACATCTGACACCTAGCTTTCTCATTACACGTTTTCTTAAATAGCAATTTTCATTTTTTTAATCACTACTTTGCATCAGTAAGAATGCATTTTTATATTCCTTATTTTGCTGGGTTGACCCAGGCTGGAGGCCAGGTG